TTGGACTCGACCCTAGGGCGGCCGGTCGGACACTTCGAAGGGGAACTGGGCCCAGGCAGCCTCGTGTCGAGTGGAGTGTCGACCGGACGGAAGGGGTCGTTGCAAGTACCCCCTTCGCCGGTAGCAAAACGGGCTTGAAGGCAGACTGCAACGAGAGCCGGCACAAATCGCATCCGGACTCTCATCTTCACCGCCAAGGGCACTCGAGGTCGAGTCTCGTCCATTGCGTGACGGGAAATTGGCATTTCGTCGTACCACCAGATGCAATTGAAACTTATAGATAAGACAAAAGAGTTTTTTTACTCGACGATACTACTTACATTCACAATGAGTAGACATCAAGGCAGTCAGTTGAGTTGAAATAAATACTCATCCTAATTGAGACAGTACAAAGAGCTGCAAGGCCGGATGAATGAAAAATGTACGCTGTCGCATCTTTACCCACAACAGGACTCGAAATCGGGTCCTCCAAATTAATTGTCAATAAAACGACATTCCGCGACATCGTCATGGCGCAAATTTCATCTTCAAAGCAAACGCAGAGGTTTTTATCAGCCAAACACGATGATATTTTCATCACAAACGGCACCTGAAACCGATTAGCATTGCGTTACTGGACGGATAAGAGTTTTAAAGCAAACAAATTTACACTTTTCCATGAGACAACTTGTTACTCTTCCCTAGACTCTATGATATTACTTAGATTTGTCATAAGTAGACATCGAGAGCTTGAGTAAATTTGCAAGAAAATGCAAATAAATTGAGATATTTTTATGAGATGTAAAGAGCTGTCTAATACAGACTGAAATGACGCTCCAAATCAGCCCAAGTCTCATCCACTTCTCTAACCAGACTCGAAACCGAGTCTTGCGCATTAAGTGGCAACCAAATAGCGTTCCGTCATGCAGCCATGAGGGGCAGTTTGCCATGGGGAAGATGTGATCTTTGAAGGAAACAAAGTGGTACCTATTTATTGGGCTTTTCGATGAGAGAGACCTGCATTTATCTTTAATATTTGTGCCATTACTTATATTGGTCATCAGTAGACTTCCAAACTTGAATTAAATTTCAATGTTGGCCTCACCCATTCAGCCTTGATACCTAAAGTGCCCACTTATCTGTAATGTAATTCTACTCATTTTATTTGATTGCGGTCCCTTAAATAACTTCAAAGGAGGCAAGCTGAGTTGGGTTCTTAATCGTGAGCCGCTGAGACTTTTGAAACCTACTCAATTAGCAGATGAGTAATACTGTCGAAAGCAATTTTAGGTACACATTCTAGGGTTAGGTAGTTGGATTTTATGGTATCGTCCTTACCGCAGCGTCTCGTCAACATCCCTACCTGAATCGAAACCGAGTCATGCGTGTCGATCGGTGTTTCGTCACCACTCGGCTGCTCAATTTCGTATTCGAGTATTACTGGTAGTTTTGAAAGTAATTATCATCTGAAAATATAAATCGTCCGCAGCCAAATTTCAGATTTGCGCAAGTCATTTCCATTTCTACTATTCTCTGTATGCCTCAAAGCCTAGTCCTAAAGGACCTAGGCTGATTCGGCGTCATGGTAACGGGCAGTTTGTCTGCGATCTGCGAGGTGTAGATAGGGTCATAACTTCAGAGATCACTTGCTGCCTTCGAAGCAAAAGGTTCGCTCAACACGAAATCTGGTATGTAGGGTTGTGTGGGTGTGTGTGTGTGTTTGTTTATGAGACTGGCGGGGTAGAATGTGACAGTGGTGGAGTATGTCGAGATGGGCTGATTCAACCCAAATAGACGGACACCTGATCCGCAGCCTCAGTCAGCGAATTGGTTCCCTGAAGTCTATCAACGCTGTCTTGTGGCACCACACACACACACACACACACACACACAATGAATAATGCAAGTCGAGACGAGAGGTTGCAGTTACCTCCTCAAATATCCGCTCAGAGTAAAGGGACTGAAGGTCGCACGAACTCGAAAGCTTAGGTCTCATCAGGACTCTCGTCTCCTAACTTTTTCGGGGCTCAGATCGCACCCTTATTTTTCCACAATTCGCGAAGGTTGCTGTCGATGATTTTCTCTTCTGTATCATTTTTCACTTTCAGGCCAGTACTGCAACCATCTCTACTCTTGCCTCTAAGAATTTCCAGAAAGAAAAATGGCCACATTAAGTGGCGCAATTGGACGTTTCTACTTGGTGGCCTCAGTCGATGCTCGTTGTCACCTTCACAATCTCCTTTGGATTAATCACTCTTTCACCGGCTAAGATCACCAATTAGCATATCGCAGAACTTCAAGCGATTTCATCCAATCTCATGTTTAAAGGCGAAAATGGCAAGCAATCACAGAAACTAACAAAAGTCCAAAGCTGAATAACCAATAATTAAAACAAATTGTCTAAGCCTCACATGTAAAACCTCATAATAAGACAAATAATCAACTGTTTATCATAGATGACAGATTAGACAAAGACAAAAATACCCGCAAACATAAATTTATGATAAAATATTCCATCAAAATTGCTGTATTAAAGTAAACTTCCACTTGCATCTACATCAATATCTGAGAGTTTTACAATTTATAGCTTCAGAAGAAAATCATTCTGATTATGATAATATTCTTTATTTTAAGAGCGGCTACCAATTTATCATATATAAATAAGCAAAATCGACGAAAGTGACGAAAGTCCCAGACTAAAAAGCCAATAATTTAACAGAAATATCTTAGTCTCATTCATAAGACCTCACAAAATAGGAAAAAAAAACAACCAGCACGATTTAAAGATGAAAAACTGAAAAGGACCAAAAATAATTAACCATACACATCAATTTATGAGAGAATAATCCCCAGAAATCACCACAACAGAGTAATCTGCTATTTGCTGTCTCTTTCAAGCCGAGTGTTCTACAAGCAAAAGCCCGTATGTTCGTGTGTGTTTTTGTGTGTTTCTGTGTGTGAATCTTCACATTATTCTGTATGCAGGCGGGCAGAAACAAGCGGCCAACTGTTGACTTCCCAACAGTAGACAAGTTGGTTTTGTCTACTCATCTATACACTAAAAAAACTGTAGTCGGTGTGGCGTTTGGAGATGCTACCAATTGAATTCTGTATCAAATCTAAGTGTTATTGGGGTATCATGCAGCGTGGCAGTTCGGACACGGCAACAATTGGGGACTAAGAGGTTGAGGGACAGACAGCCGGTGTTATTTGGCCGAGCCTGTCGCCTAGGCGAGGGGCTTAGCTCGAAACCGGTCTAGGATCAGAATGTAGACCCGCTATGTTGAAGCTCGGCAATTTTCGGTATCAATAAGAATTAAGTCAGCAATTGAAGAGAAGCTGGCTTTTGAAGACTCCGTTAGTAGATTGACAAGGCCTACATTTCATTTTGTTTAAGAAGGCGGGTGGAGAGGATTCATAAATTGACCGCACCGGACACCGAAGGAGGGTTGCCTCGGACACTTTTGTCTGTTGAATTGTGCGAAAAAGACCTCGATGACTCCGTGTTGACCTTTGGTCCGTCGTGTGACCAACATCGTCAGAGCCAGAAATGATTATTGACAAACAATCACCAAAAAAGACTAAATCAGGAAAAAGTCCAAAGCGACCCTCCTTCGGTATCCGATGCGGCCAATTTACGAATCCCTTCTGCCCGCCAGTACGAAGAACAAAGCTTTGAGTTCTCCCACAATCAGATGCGAGTGAATTTCACTAAAGTTTCGACCTCGCTTGGGTGTAATCAGATGATTCACGAAGTAATGCTAGTCTCAGATCAAACTGCTCCGAAATTAAGTAACGTCGTTGATTGCAAAAAGACAAATGTAAGCTTGATAGAATATCTCAGTATAAATGCGACCAATTCACTATCGAACACTACTTATATCAAAATTAAGTAGTCTTATTGATTTCAATGCAAACACATGCATTGTGATATGCTTTCCCAGTTTGAAGGAAAAGTTGATTGGAAGGAACTCGTGAAATGGCATCACCGGAAACCGGATGAGGATTGCCGCTGAGAGAAGACTGTTGGATGGCGCAAAGAAGTCCTCCCGTCGTGGCAGACATCATCAGATGAAGGATCCCTAATTTACAAAATGGCGGCAAAAAACACTAAGCCCAGAGAAAAGATGACCGACTGCAAGCATAGTCACTTTACACACACATTTCCTTGAGATTTTGATGAAGCATCCTAACATTTGGTTGCCTACCTCAAGTTTACTCTGCATACTTGTACATGAATGAAATGACTTCATGAACCGGAAATGGATTCAGTGGAAACTGTTTGTTTGCATAAATGAATAAACTAGCGCACTATCGTCTGAAGTCGACTCATGTTTAGGTCTGACTTAATTGCTATTGTGTGCATGTAATGCCCATGTGTTGCGAGGTGTGATAGCGCTAGCTAGACTCGAGGTTAATCCAGCTTATTTCTCTTGTTCAGTGGGTCTACCCGAACTCTCTCTCTCTCTCTCTCTCTCTCTCTCTTCAATTTACTA